ATTCATGTTCATAAAGGGTTTGTAGAGTGGATGAGTTGAGACCTAATGTGTCACGTCATAAACTTGTACCTGAGCTCTAGAAAATGATACGAAAGAAGGTTTCTTTTTCGGTTTTCCGCTTATATCTCAAAAGCGGTGCGTCGTAGCGAAACATTTTTTAATACAAACAAAGAACTGATAAAATTATTTGATAATTACCTAGTGTACACTAATTATGAAATTCAAACCGTGTTCACATTGTAACGAGAGCATGATGTTTGGATTTAATTTGTCCGATTTTTTAATAGAAATAAGTGTGCAGTTTGTGAAAAACCGTTCGGCATTAGTAGTGCAAAAGACACTAACCATACCCAATTAGACATCGACAGTTTGTAAGGTAATTCGTCATTTGTGGGTGTGGGAAATAACTCGGTAATTAAGCCTTGAAAAATGTAACAGATGAAGTCTCCCAGCAATCGACGAGCGATTGCACTTCTCTTCTTTGAAGATTTGTAGGTAAGTTCTATTTATTTCTGTAAGTATTAAAAGGTAATATTGAATACTTTTAAGAACTAATGTAAAAAAGGCATTTGTTGAAAATCTAACTTAAAGCTTTAATTGTTTTATCATAATCATAAAGTTGATTGTGTTTAGGTAATCAACAAGCATTACATATACACTCGTCATAAAACAGTTGTAACAATATTGTAAGTTATACCATCAAACTAAAATCGAAATCTATGAATTCATTCGTAGAGGCGTGAAGCAAAAGAATATTTTTAATAATTGTCGATTTGATAGTACGATGATGGAATCTGGCAAACAATTTTAAACCTTTAGCGTCCTGTATTACATAACCTTTTTGAGTTTTCTTAGGGGGACGAACAGTGTCTTTATTTCTGGTGTTATAATCGTGATAAAAAGCTTGTTAGTGATAATGTAAAAATACTGTTCTTTCTTGCAAACCTTAAACATGATTCAATAAATAGGATAACGTCAACATTTTTAGATAGATAAACGCACACTTACAGTCCTCTCCACCATGTGGCATAACCTACATAAGACAAACATATTTTTGCTTAATTTTAATGGAATATATTCAATGTGAAATTGGGGTCAATGTGTATTCCAACAAATTTTACAGATGGCGAATAAGATACATAATGGCATTTTAAAGAGAATTATAAGTATTCAGTCTTTATTTAATTTAGGTTTAATTTATTAGGAGTGCACTACTCTCTAGTTTTGTCACAGAGAGCTTCAGAAATTATCGCCTTGGACCAACAGAGTAATTTCATCAGCATATAGGGCGCAATTATTATTATCTCCTTTTTTGTATATTGAAGGACTACTATGGAACGCCGTTTTAGTATTTATACCAACATTTTATCATGTATCATTTTAAATAACAGTCAATCTTATGTCTCTAAATTTTTCGTTTGTTGTTTTTATCTTACGTATTAAGAGATTGATTAAAAAAATGTTGATTAATAAAGATGATACATGAATTAAAATGTTTGTTGATAATTTTAATTAGGCGCTAGTATACACGTAGTCAAATAGACTAAACTGTAGTTCCTGAAACTTCCGCACAATCAGAGATACGAATTAAAATTATCAACAATCATTTTAATTAATGTAACATTTTAATTCAACAATCACTTTAAATAATTCTTGCCGATTTTAACAGCATGAATTCATATGATTGTTGAATTAAAATGTTCTCTGAAAATATTTGTACAATTTTATTCCAAAATTTTACAATGTGCCATTTTAAATAACAGTCAATCGTATGCCTCTACTTTTTACGTTTGTTGTTATTGTCTTACGTATTAAATATGATTGTTTAAAAAATGTTACTTAATAAAAATGTGAAATGAATTATATTGTTATATTGAATGAGTGTATATGAAACTGTATTTCAACAAACAATTAATAACAAACAATTAAATTGAATTGCAAGAAATACTTCGATTAATAAAACGATTTTGTCCAACAAACATAAAAATTCATTCATTTTAAATGTGGAATTAAAATTATCAACAAACATTTTAATTCATCAGTCATATAAATTCGACGATTTGAAAATTGAAGCCGAATATTTTCAACAATCACTTTAATTCAACAAACAAATAAATTTTTATTGTTAGACGTAGTAAAAGAATCTTTTAAAATGATTGTTGAATTAATATGATTGTTGAATTAAAATGTTACATGAATTAAAATGTTTGTTGATAATTTTAATTAGGCGCTAGTATACACGTACCCAAATACACTAAAGGATAGTTCCTGAAACTTCCGCACAATCACAGATACGAATTAAAATTATCAACAAACATTTTAATTCATGTAACATTTTAATTCAACAATCATTTTAAATAATGCTTTCCGATTTTAACAGCACGAATTAATATGATTGTTGAATTAAAATGATTGTTGGGAATATTTGGACAACACTTCAATAATTGAATTAATATGATTGTTGAATTAAAATGTTTGTTCATAATTTTAATCTCACATTTAATATGAATAAATTTTTATGTTTGTTGAATTAGTTCTAGTTAGTTATATTACTGTTCGTTTATGTATTCGTTTGTTGATTTGTATTGTTAAACTTTCGTTATACACATTGCTATATAATTCATACATCATTTCAATTAAGTGAAGTTTTTTAAACAAACAAATGTTAATGTTTCACATAAAAACAACAAACATAATAAATCGGGAAATAAAATTAACTGTTGTTTATAATGTTACATTGTAAACTTTCGTAATAAAAAGTAAAACGGCGTTCCATACATTCACGAAGATGATACTCGAAACTAACTTTTTAATTACGATTGTTGTTAGTACAAATCTCCATTGGATTAGATGCATTTTTTAATGTAGAATTTCCCAAAAAATTAGAGATTTTGGATTACACAAACGTTGTCATTCAATCGTTGCCTTATGTTGTTTACAGTGTTCTAAGCCATAACGGCATATAAAGGTGTTTTAAATTACTATTTTATCGCCTTTCCCTTTTAGAAGCTCTTACAGAACAATAATGTATTCCGTGGCGGATTTAAATTTTTTGCGCCCCTAGGCACACCGAAAGATGTGCGCCCCAAAATAATCTTTAAATTGAAATAAATTTTAAAATAAAAATCAAATTATAACATGACATTTTTAAAACTAATATGCAAAGAAACTATCTACCAATTCTAATTTATTTTATAATTTTAATTAAACATGTTTGTCATTTATAACTTGTCAGGGGAGTTATTTTAAAACTTAAAATGTTACCTAAAATAAATATAGTGCAAAAAATGCAGCCCCCTAAAGCTGCCGCCCCGTGCCTAGTGTTCCTATATGTAAATCCGTCACTGAATGTATTGCCAAGCTTGTGGTACACTAACTATTTTTGAATTGATGACTGATTTTGTTTACAGAGATTATTAGGATTATAATGAAAAACTGTAAGTGCGGGGTAATTTGTCCAAACAAGTTTTGCAAGCTTCTCTTTCCTCAGGAATGTTGTTGAACGTTCTTTTCAAACAATCAATTAATTAATTGCGTGTTTATTCGAACTCATTCTGCGACTCGGATAGTTTTCATGTCAGATTCTTCTTCTCGTGTCCACGACATATTGTGTGAGGTGTTAATGAGAATTTGTCTAGTTAATCCTTTGGAATTTTCGGAAGTTGATCGGGGCTACTGATGGCCGTTTGCACCGACAAATTTAAGCTGGATTTTGCTTAAGCATTGCTTAATATCCATGGTAACCATAGTCTCAACAATCGTTGTCATGGATTTTAAGCTATGCTTAAGCTAAGCTCTGCTTAAATTTGTCGATGCAAACGGCCATGAGTCTCCCAAATTATTCAATATTGGGATTTTCCGAACTGTACAAGGAGAAATTATAAAAATTTTAAGTTTAAGTTAAGTTTAAGCAAGTATATAAGTCAATCTTGATTTATTTGAGCTAGATGAATAGGGGTTTTGTGGATATACTATTGCACACAGCAATATGTAGATAATTATATTACACATAAGTCTTGTATAAACATTTGTTTTCTAAACACAACGTAATAAATCCAAAAAACCGTATTTTCCAAAATGTCAGCTTGAGCACAATTTTTTTGGGGACTTGATAACATTTGAATAAAGCGGCAACAATGAATTTGTGTACCAATGTTCTTAGTATGACAGATTTTTGAAAACGTGTAATTTTTGGCCTAAAAATAATGTTTATGGGGTACTTGCCTTGCACACAAGTTACCAAGGCATATGTGATTAAAAAACAGCATAATGTAAAATTGTATCAAAATTCAGCCCGAAAATATAAAAACGACTCCTCTTATTAAAATTAGTATAAAACGACAAATAGACTGTATCATCGTCTCAGGGTGTACGCCTTCATCATGAATAATAATAATTATGAAGTCATATTGCATTTATTTAAACTTAGATAACCTTTTAACCGTTGAATCAATCATTTGTCTTCGAGTTTGTGTTGTATAATAAAAACAGACACCTCAGTCGAAGTAATGTTAAAAGTTTATTTCAAGTGGCACAATTTCGAGGTACCTTGGCAATGGTAGTTCGTAGATCGGACGTGACATTAGTGTAAAATTAATAACAATAATTTCCAAGTAATTCGAATATTCATAAAGTGACATAATCCGATTTTTACGTAACAAAGTCACGAATGAGCGGTATCGATCGTAGAAATCTGCATACCCTTCTTCAGTTACAAATATGGACCGACTTAAGCACGTCAGCACTCAATCACTGAGAAAAGACAATAATAGAAAATCATCAAGGTGATTGGAATAAATTATAACAAAAATGGGCAATGCTTCATTGGTGATTATAATTGACGCAAAAAAAGCTTCGACAATAGATCAAAATTTTGACAAATAAACTGGAAAGCGCACACTGTTAAAATTTCTAAAAAGGAAAAGTGCGCAGATGTTACAATTGAAATAAAAAGTAATTTGCGGTTTCAATGTGGAGCAGTAAATAGTGAGAAATCTTACCTTAACGGTATCGTAAATTCCCTCCTTCAGCCCTCTAGGATCCGGCTCGCTTTTAACTTGCAATCTAGAAAATTCGCTTGCATATAAAATCGCAAATTATTGTATAATAAAAATCGTTACCTCGGAGACTCGGCGCTACCATTTTGGTTCGGCCTAGGCGAGGGTGGGTTGCGATTTAATCCCGGGGTTCCATTTACGGCTTTGTTTACGGTCTGTTTACTGTAAAGAAAAAGAAACTTACAATATCGAATAAATCCGTGACAAATTACAAATTCCAGCAAAAGACAATAGGGTTTCCAAGCGTTATCCAGTATACGTGCATTACAGATTCCTGTCGTGTACGCAGAACATTAACGCGTCAAACTCACCTGGAGACAAAAGGTCGTTTCAAGTTCAGACTTGCCCAAGGAGAACAAAGAATATTAATTACGCACATTATCGAGTTTTGATTTGGTTGATTGAATTAAACAGAACGCGAACCTTATATGGGTTTCATATATGAAATTATTAGTGCGTCACTCTAATATGCATGATTTATGTCCTAACCTCAGCCAATATGGCGAAGCGTAACCAATTTCTTCAATTGGTGCAATTATCTCGTACTAGATCAATCTACTACGGCACATAAAAAGGAAGCAAAACATTGCCCAAGGATACTTACGTTAAATGCATATAATCAATTCGAATAACTTAATTCCCTGGGGTTGCGTGCAAGGCAACAATACCTTACAGGGGATCATTTTTGAAGAATTAATTTATATCGTGCGATGAGAATGCTTTCTATTGCTTGGCACGAATTCTCACGTCAATAACCAAAAAAACCATAATGAATGCGAACGTAATTAGTGTGAAAGCACATATTTCGAATGACCCTACACTTGCTGACCTATCCGGAGATGATCATATCTCGTGAGAAAACAGCCAAACGGTTTTCAGGATTGAGACGGCGCAAAACAAAAACAAAAATCCGCATACAGCGATGATTAAGATCGCGACCGCGACGCAATAAATAAAAATGTCGAATGAAGATGCAAATTCATTATATCACATTTTGTCTGCACCAAAATAGAACTCGCTATGAAGATGAATGACTTCAAGCATTGGAGGAGGCTTGGAGCCGAGCCAACAAGGGGTCAACTCGAGTTAATTTAAAATCTCGTGTATTTGTCAACTAGTCCAGTCACAAGAAATTGAACTTTCAACCGGAAAATATTTAACCTAAAAACGAAAGGAGAGCCTTGTTGGTTTCGGAAAAATAACATTTTTTTGATAACAGAACTTGAACGTTATTAAAATCGCTCAAAGGAAACACCGACTTTGTCTAAAACACCTAATATAATATAATATTAATTTTAATGTTAATATAATATCTCATACAGGAATTTTCAGTGTCTAAAATATCAATCATTTTGTGTAAGCAAATGTGCGAATTGTTTAGGTACCCACAGTTGAGAAAGACGCTTTCGCTCGTATTTAATGATTGATAATAATAAATTAAAACTAGGGATGGATTCGAACCGAAGTAAACTTGAACTGAAAACTTCGGAGCTTTATTTAGAGGTAAGTTCGGTTTAAAAAATTATAATGCCCCTCGGTTCGGAGAATAATTATATGAATTGGTTGGTTTTCTGAACCGAACTCCCAAGATCGTTTTCCTATACATAGGGAATACCCACAATACAGGGCGTTTCAAAAAGAATCATCCGATTTTGTAGGTTTATAATTTCAATACTAATAATAATATGGACATGAGGTTAATTTTATATTAAAGGATAACTAATAAAGTTTTTTTATTATACCTGAATCACAATCTCCGTTTTAAACACTCAAATGCGTGCGAAAAAGGGCCTTTAAAACACACGTGCTTTAAAGTTGCTAAGTAACGATACTTCAAGTAGGACTTTTGAAACTGTCATCTGGATGAAATAAAAATCCTCTTAGGTCGCTTTCTGTAAATGCAGAACATTTCTTTGGCTTTTGTACCTATCCTTTGGTTGAAGCTTTCACAAACGCGCGTAATTTAGGGTATGCTTCGAAATCTGTTCCACTTTTTAACCGCAGCATTGCTTTAAAGTTTTGAATGAATGCACCAAAATATAGAAAATTTAAATACCTTTGACATTTCCTTCATATATGCCACCATTATGAATGCATTTAAGACTGTATTCGTAAGTAACTTCCTATTCATCCATGGAAACAACTTTTCATATTCTTTATAATAGGCTTTGCTGGAGTTGGATTTTACACCTACCAACGTTTGTTTAGATTTTACAACAATCGATTTAATGGACGGTGTATTATCTTTTTCAACGGAAATCGTTTATTCACAAAGACGATGATTTTTATAAGCAAACGTCAAGTGACATTTCCATGGCAATCGTGAAATTACGAACACCCAGCCCACTTAATTAGACATGTATTCGAGTATAACGTCAATATGACTTCATTGTATTTCCTCTTTTTAATATATACTGCAGGTATAATAAAAAATACTATAAGATACACGTGTATAATTGATCTTTAAAGCACTTGCAACCTTAAAGGCACTCCGCTTTGCGTCGTGCCCTTAAACTCGTTGCGCGTGCTTTAAAGACTTGATTATACACTTGTATCTTAATATACTATTTTATACACCATTTACAGGTGCTCAATATGGCCCCCTTGAGATGCACGGCATATGTCTATGCGATACTCAAATTCGTCCCACACCTTAGCTAACATTTCTTGAGTGATAGATGCTCTGGGCTGTAGGAGGATCAGCACCATATGTGGTACGAAATTCACGTTGCACGGAAATCACAGACTCACATTTAGCAAACCGTATAACACAAAACGCTTTCTGTTGTTTAGACGCCATTTTGACAATACTGAGCTGGGCGTTGACAGAAGCGTGCTACTGCTACCTAGCAGAAACCACGCGAAACTCGAGAGCTTCCTCTTACTAACAGTACATTGTTCTATCAAATCGGACTTATAGATGAATAGCAATAAATTTTTAAAATCGGATGATTCTTTTTGAAACGCCCTGTACTATAAGCCCGTTTCGCGTCTATCCCTAATAATACGAACACTGGGGCGAGCTTTATGATAGTTGCACACGTGAAGTAACAGCAACGAACGGTATTGTTGTAAATGCAACGACAATTATTATAAACCGCCCATGCAAATTTGTGGCAAAATAGAGGGAACACATAAGTCACCGAGATTTTCGACATCAAATCATTCGAAGTCGAAATTGATCTATAATTTCCAAATTCCAAACTAAAGTAACTTTGATATTATTTAATCATTTAATTTAGGGGGACAAATTCTCTCAAATTCAATTACGAAAATATAATAATGTCATTTAAAAAATGTAAGTCAACTATTACTAGCCCCCGGAAATAATAATTTATAACATTTCAATTATGGCCGTTTTGTAGTATTTTCGCAATCATGAAATATGGTTTTTGTTGCATAAAAAATTCGGACAAAAAGTGTAGGTACTAGGTACTACAGTTTGCGGCGATTTTTTAAAATTACACCCTGTACGTATATGATTTTTTGCAAATTATCCACTAGGGCATGTAGAGAGTAAGGTATCGCCTACTTGTTCAATTAGTCCAGTAGGTACTTTAGTAAGTTATTTTATTTGCAAGAGAAAATTTACGGAAAAAACGACAGGCCAACAGAAATAGTGACCTACATTTTTCGTTATCAGAATAATGTCAGGAATTCAGAAAACCCATTACCTGAACTGTCATGATTTTTCACGATTGCTACACTTTCTTCTCTTCCTTGAAAGTAAGGAAAAAAACAATAACACATTTACATAAAATAACCGAGCATAAAACTTAATACAGGGTGTTTTTGGGAGCTTTAGTTAAACTTTTGTGTAACTTCCGGTATTTGCCGAAGTAGCTAGCAACTTCTTTATTTAAATACCCACATGTCGATACCTACAATTAATGGTTTTAAGCTCGGTTTTAAGTTACTTGGACTTTAAAAAAATGGCGGATGCAGATGGTACCTTGACAATTGATTACCTACTTGAAAACGATTGTAGTTATGGCAACCAATTTTTACCAGTGCGTAGAGAAAAAATAGGGCTTGCATTTAGTTTGCTTAAAAAGAGTTAAGTTGCGTACGACCGATAAGATCCAAATTTAACAAATTTCGAAGACATCTCATCTTTTTTTAAATCTAATGATACCATTTTCTTACTATTGGATCTGGTAGAGAATCAAAGTTGGCATATTTTGGTATTACATGTTCCTATATCTTTAATAGTTTCTGACTTACTCGCATTCCCATTTCATTGAATTGATTCCTTTTTTTTTCGGATTTTCTTTTTAGTAGTCGGCCATGATTTTATGACAACCGAATTTTAAACAAATCAAGGAAATGGTTCTTTAATATTATTGATTCTAATCTAAATAATTAATTAATAACAAAGACAGCAAAATGATCAGCTGATTGGAAAACACAAACTTATATACTTATTCATAATGTGTAGAACAGTAATTTTTAGAAGTTTGTTCAGAAAATTAACGATTATAACTGATAAAATAACATTTTGCATTCAAATTTTCTTGATACAGATGGAAACACCAAATCTTGTTATTTTTAAACGTACGAAACCCACTCTTGGAAATGTACTTCTGGATTTAAAAAAGGATTTTGATCGCACCAGTAATGGGAGTTATGGCGATTATGCGTGCCGTTTTTATTAAATTTGGCCTCATCTGACCATTAATAATGTTCCCTAAAAAATTATTATCATCTTTCTGATCCCTTACCATTAGCCATTCGATATTTATCACTCAACGGTACTACCATTGAGTGAAGGATTATTATTTAATTACTCAATTGTACTATTTGATTGATATGCAAAATTTTTTTGAATTAACATAAAACATTTTCATTTTCCAAGCATAAATTTGTACTGCTACATCAACATTTAAAATGATTGTTGAATTAAAATGATACTTGAATTAAAATACTAGTTCATAATTTTAATTCGTCGCTAGTGGCGCATACACCCAAATGGACTGAACGTCCACACTTTTGAATACAAGTAACATTTTAATTCGGAAATCATTTTAAATGATTTGTAAATGGAATGGACTGATTGCCGAATTAAAATGTTCATTCACTTATGCCACCTTTTTTTTAAAGAAAGGATTAGGGATTTGAACCGATTTTTTTGCAATGTTTTTGGCTGATCGGCTGTAGAGGAA